AAAACTATATTCTAAAAGACTCTTCAAAATAATATTTTAAAATAGAGAGTGGGTTCAGTAGAGAACGATAATATAATAATTTGGAAGGAAGATAGTGAGAATAAAAGATAGGGAATAATAATAATAATATTTTTTGAGAGTAATAAAATTAAGCTCCCATTATTTCAAATTTTAATGAGTGAATTATTATTATTATTATTTTGGAGAATTGGTGGTTTTAAAAGAAGAAAACAATTTCGATTTAAGATTTTATGATTGAAAATAGGAGAGAGAAAAATAAAATTTAATTTAATGGGGGCTAAGTGTTAAAAATAAGAGTTATGCTACAATGACAAATGGGGTTTACAAAGTTAGGTTACAAAATCAAATATACACCAATCATTTTAAAAACAGATTTTTAAATCATTTGAAATCAAGGGTTCAGATTTTGTCAACACACTTTGACACTCTACTTTTATACACCAACTTTGTAGGAGTAGAATTATTCTAAAAATAAAGAGTATGTTGGAGTACTTAAATTTTTTATCATGTTAATTTATAAATGTTCTCTAAATTACTAAATATATTCTTTAAAAATAGAGTCTTTTATAGATGCTATTGGAGAGCCAAACCCATTTCTATTCTTAACGTACAATAATTGCATTTGATAAGCCAAAATGTTTCAAACTTTCAGTACATCACTTCTTAAACTATTCAAACCACATTTAAGCTCTCGTTTGGCCTCCATTTAATTTTCATTCCATTATATTCCATTTTTCTTTCTCTTTTTTTGCAACTACACAATTTTCTATAAAATAATATTACACGAAAAATGAAAATTTTTCCTTCTTTTTCAATCACTCATTTAAAAAAAAAAAATACTATTATACCAATTTTCATTTCTACATAATGGGGGCCAAACATGGGCTAAATTAATTGGTTGACATATAAAAAATATATTAAATAAAATAGGAGGAGAAATTAATAAATATTTCTTAAGAAAAACAAAATAAAGAACTAAAATAGAGATCATTGTTGGAGTGTATACAAATTTTAAAACTCTAAATTTAAAGATACTCTCTATAGTGCATAAGTTGCAATTCATAAATAAAGAGTATCTTGGAGAATCAATGTTTAAAAATAAGTTGCAATAGACTCTCTATCCTTTTTCTTTCTTTTTTTTTTAAATAGACTTTGGAATTTGAAAAATCAAATTCATTCTCTATTTTTATTTTATAATGATCGCATTTAATAAGTTGCAAATTTCAATAATCTGCTTCTTCAATTATTCAAATCCTATTTGAATTGATTGACAATTAATATATAAAAAAGTATATTCAATAAAATATGGAAAGAAATCACTAAGCACTTTCTTTAAAAATAAAATAAAATAAAATAAAGAGTCAAAATAGATCGAATTGTTGGAGTGTTAAAAACAATTACTTTATAAACTTAAATATGCTTTCTGTTATATATAAGATACTCTTTATAAATAAAGAATTTACAATTTAAAGTAGCTAAAATGGTTGCGATCTCTTCATGTCTCACTCAAGCAATTCTTTATTATTTATTGTTACAGATATTTTGGTTTGACACTGCTTCACACCCAAAACAAAAAGAAGGGAGTTACGTCTGAGTTAAACTTGGAGATGGAAGTCTTCTTTCGTTTCTCGACGTTAAAGTAAGACCAAACTCATGAGCTTATTATCCTATATGGAAACAAGTTGATAGGATCCCCTTTTTTACGTCCCTTTGTCCCCCCGTGTGGAGAGCTTGACTGCTAGAGAGTTTTTGGGTATTGGTTATAGAATTTTTTAAAGTATCGATTTTGGACGATACAAGGAGTTCAGTTTTAGACAATTTATAAAACAGTACAATCCATACTTCGTAGTTTATTATCCTAGATTTTTAAAAGTTTTTTAAAGGAATAAAATTACATCAAGTCTCCTTAGTGAAATTTTTAATTTATAATTTTCTAGTATGAAATTTTTATTACTCATAAGTAACATTTTAGATATAAATTAATATTTAACTTAAAAAATTGAAATATTTGCTAATGATTAATTTATAAGTAATTTCTGCTTATAAATAAAATTTACAGTTATAAGTTAATTTTGTACTTAAAAATAACATTTTACAGATAAGTGGATTTTTTTATTTATAAGTAACTTTTTACAATTTTATAAGTGATTTTTATCTTGTTATCAGTATTTTTACCTTATAAGCATTTTTAACACAAAAGTGATTTTTTTTTTTATCATATAAGTCATTTTTTTATTTATAACTAAATATTTTAATTGTAAAGTAATTTTTTGCTTATAAATATATTTTTTAATTATTATATTTTTATTTTAAGTTCATTTTGAACAAAATATATGACTGGGAAATAATTGTTTTATGGAGCGTAAAATTGAAAGAAATTTTGAAGAATGGCAAATAATCAACTTGGTAGGCGACAAATGCTACACTTAAAGTAGCTAAAATGGTTGCGATCTCTTCATGTCTCACTCAAGCAATTCTTTATTATTTATTGTTACAGATATTTTGGTTTGACACTGCTTCACACCCAAAACAAAAAGAAGGGAGTTACGTCTGAGTTAAACTTGGAGATGGAAGTCTTCTTTCGTTTCTCGACGTTAAAGTAAGACCAAACTCATGAGCTTATTATCCTATATGGAAACAAGTTGATAGGATCCCCTTTTTTACGTCCCTTTGTCCCCCTGTGTGGAGAGCTTGACTGCTAGAGAGTTTTTGGGTATTGGTTATAGAATTTTTTAAAGTATCGATTTTGGACGATACAAGGAGTTCAGTTTTAGACAATTTATAAAACAGTACAATCCATACTTCGTAGTTTATTATCCTAGATTTTTAAAAGTTTTTTAAAGGAATAAAATTACATCAAGTCTCCTTAGTGAAATTTTTAATTTATAATTTTCTAGTATGAAATTTTTATTACTCATAAGTAACATTTTAGATATAAATTAATATTTAACTTAAAAAATTGAAATATTTGCTAATGATTAATTTATAAGTAATTTCTGCTTATAAATAAAATTTACAGTTATAAGTTAATTTTGTACTTAAAAATAACATTTTACAGATAAGTGGATTTTTTTATTTATAAGTAACTTTTTACAATTTTTTAAGTGATTTTTATCTTGTTATCAGTATTTTTACCTTATAAGCATTTTTAACACAAAAGTGATTTTTTTTTTTATCATATAAGTCATTTTTTTATTTATAACTAAATATTTTAATTGTAAAGTAATTTTTTGCTTATAAATATATTTTTTAATTATTATATTTTTATTTTAAGTTCATTTTGAACAAAATATATGACTGGGAAATAATTGTTTTATGGAGCGTAAAATTGAAAGAAATTTTGAAGAATGGCAAATAATCAACTTGGTAGGCGACAAATGCTACACTGCATTATTTTAGTGCTCTAAAAAACTATCAAGTAGAGATGGCAGTGAGGAGGGTTTTGGATGGGGTACCCTTGCCCCCGCCTCATTTACATACTTATTTATTTTTTTATTTTTGATAATTCACTTTATTGTCCACATTCATTAAAATGATACATTAATATAGTTATTAATATTTTTTTTATTAATTTACTTATTTTTAAAAATTAAATTATTCGAATATATTTGATAAACCAAGATTTTTATTGTTTATCATATTCTTTAGATAATCTTGGTTACATCTTTTATTAGAATTAATGAAAATTTATGGAGTTTTTTCATTTAAAATATTAAATTCTTTTTTTTTTTTTAAATGAAACGGGACAGGGGCCCCATTACCTGTACCCACTAAAGGCGAAATTTCCCATCCCACACCCGACCTAAATACTCGATTAAGCGGGTAATCTCCACCCTGTGGGTATCGGGTTTGAAGGGAATTTTTTGCCATCCCTACTAACAAGCATTGTTTTTTCCAACATATCGTAAGCGTGGCAATCCAAAAGGATCACAAATGGTTTTAAAAAAAAAAAAAACTCCCAAACAAGCCCTAAAAGTTTTATTAAGAGAAGTGTCACAACCCGTACATATTGATTAGTTTTTTATATGCAATTGATATGAAATCTTACTCTAAACATACTTCAAGACGGTTTGTTTAAAAATACTAACAAAAAAAATCCTAATAACTTGTTTAAGCTTTTAGATGGATCGAATGGCTCGTTTCAGCACTCTGTGCTTTAATACTATATTTAATCTTGAATATCCTCTAAAAGATCAACCTTATTAAGTGGGCTTTCTAAACCTTTTTATCTTTGTTCCAAACTCAATTTCGCACTCCCCAATGCAACACTTGCAATTGATTTCATTTCATTCATCACGAGATAGTTGCTAGACAACTTTAAGTGTCTCCCATATCAACTAGAAATCTAAATGTTGATATGCTTTCGAACTTTCTTCTATCCCAGAAAATTGTTACTAATAGAACTACTAGATTGCTGTGCATGTAAAAAAAAAAAACCTCACTATCTCAAAATATCTAGTCAACCAAATCAAAATCCTTGATTCGAACTTCTCCTAATAGACCTTTATTATTACAAATTATTATTGAAATTCTATCTTAACTACCTTTATCTTCTTCTATAGATTAGGTTATAATTTGTTGCAAAATCACTTTACCTTTTTTTGTGTTTAGGATAAGTTAATTAAAATTTTTTGCTGCGGTTTAGGAGAAGTTAATTAAAATTACATATTTTTCTCTGATTCTCCAAATGCATAATGTTATCCATTATTCTACAATTCTCATTTTGTCTCAATATAGTTGCAAGAAAACATGAGTAGATATGTGGGCCTAAGCCAGTTGATATAAAACGAATGTTTCCTATAACAAAGATAATGGATTCAAATAAAAAATGTTGTCCTGAAATTGTTTTCAGATCAACTAAATTAATGGATAAATAGAAAAATGAGTTGAAGAGTTGGATTTCTAGCATATCCTGTCGTTTGGTTCCTTAGAGTGACAAAAGATAGAAGATTCATAGTCTAATATATTGCTTAGCTTAACTGTATTTGAGTGCTGCAGTATGTAAAAACAGCTTCATAAAAGGACAATTACACCTGTGTTCAAAGCCATCGAAATTATTATACAAATTTATCTGGTTTGGCTACTCTACGGAAAAGGATCTAATTTCTTTAGATCTTCCAGCAGAACTAGTAATGAGCTGAACATAGGGGCGAAGCCTACCCACCGACCCCAAATTTATGAGAAAGAGGACTACTCAGATAGGCACAATTCATATATGCACTGATACGAGAGAGAGAATGAGAATTCCTGCTATCTCACTTACATGTGCATATTTTGCAATCTGATGCATTTCCTTGAAGAATCTGAAGAACAAATTAACCAATTTACAGGGTTATCTGTGGAAGAAATAGGAGATGAATACGACGAAATGAGTCATTTAGATATAAAATTTTCTTGGTACACACAATTTAAATATATATGTGGATCTTGAATTCAATCCACAGTTCTGATCCACCCTCCTTAATCAATAATCAGCAACATTTCTTGATGAGTTTTTGAATATATAAATCTAATTAGATAAACTTTTTCGTAACTAAATTACTCCCTCCTGTACAGGACAAAGGGAAAGACAAAGAGCGAACAATTTCTTATGGAAATTTAGGAATTGTCAGAAACGACCTCAGATTCCACATCTCTTCGATGAAAATTCCGGTGGCAGCCACAGGCCGCACACGTAAGCGCACCGCCTGTCCCTTCTCCTCCACTGGCCATGAATTCCCGGCAGCCGTCCACGGCGTAGCCGCCGATATTGGCTGCATGGTTTTTCTGACATTCTGCATACCTTACAGCCCTTGAAGATCCTCTACTTGATTCATCTTTTCTGATCACTATTTGAGTCTTCTTCATATTCTACAATTCTTTAAAACTATATTCTTGTTTTTTTGTAAGCAAATTGCTATAAATGGAAAGACTGACTCAATGGAGTTTTTTCAAGAATAGTTTGAATGGGATAGAACCTAACCTAATTAACCCTAGCTAGTATATTTATATTGGCAAGTTTTCATTTTTCCACTTGAAAAGTATAAGTATACTGGTGGTGGCATTTGTATATAATTAATTATTACTTTAGGAACCCAATTGTACTATTTTTGATAGATATATATATTCAAGATTTTTCTGATTTGGCTTACTCCAATTCTCCACTAATATAACACCACGTGCAAAGTGCCATTAAATTTCATTCTAATTTGTAAAGTAAAAATTTTAAGGACAAGTTAGGTATGTGTTCTGATTAGAATTTACGAAAAAGACGAAATCAAACTCTCGAGATATCAGAATTTCTATCTTGTTAAAACTGTAATATGAGATGTTAAATTTTTTTAATAGATATAAAAGATAAGATATATTAACTTCCTTATATTTCTCAATTGGATAAGATTATATAGTCCCCATTTGCTAGTGATTTTTTGTCAATAAATTTGGTGAAAAGTAATTTTTGTGTGTGTGTGTGTGTGTGTGTGTGTGTGTGTGGAGAATGTGATTAAAAAGTAAAAATAGTTATATGTCTATGTAAAAAATTGTTTTATTGAAAAAAATGAGTCACTGATTTTAAAAAATAAAGACCAAATAAGATATAGATTCATACAAAACTTTTAGGTTTATGATATTAATAACAATAAATATAGGATTTAAACAAACTTTCAGGTCATGCTGCTAGATTCCCTAGTCAATTGATCTTCATACAAATTTTATGGTAAGTTAGAAGAGAGATTATTATTTTATTTTTTAAAATTTTTTTGAGTAATGTTATTCAAACCAGTAATTGTCAGTAGCGATAGTTTGTTATTTGAAGCATTAATTTCATGATATTATGCTATCTCAAATAACAAGTTAGTGTCTCAAATAACAAGAATAACTATCGACGATCGCTGACTATAAATAGCATTATTCTAATTTTTTTTTTAATATAAATCTAAAACACCATTGAAATTTAGGTAAAAGCTTTAGGTCTCAACCTAAACTGAGCTGGGGGTTTAACAATCCCGTATGCACCAAACCTCATATCCTACAAAATAACTTGAAAACATAATCTAATATGAAATATATCTAGAACTACGAATGCCATAACAAAGTACTAAAGGTGTTAGAGTATGGTGACCCGAATTCTATTTGGTTCGGTCCCAAAAATTCACAGTGTGACTTTTGTGTTTGGACTTTCATTGTATTATATATGTATTTGGATTAATTGCACCTCTTTTACTCTTCTTTGATACAATGAATTTCTTCTTATCTGTTTTCTCCATCTTAAATTTTTACGCAAATCTTGTATTCTTGTTCTTATTTCATATTTTGCTTATTCTCCTTTTTGTTTTTTTTTTTCTCGTAACAAAAGCTATAAAACTTTTAAGAGCCAAACTACTCCATAACATTGCTTCTCTGCTTCTTATATCTA